AGCTCCATCCTTGGCCTTGAAGCCTGCTCCTGCCAGGCGATGCTTTGAGTTAATTGCTGCTCCCCCCGCTGGGCTCCCGTGACATCACTGAGGTGCTCTCCTCTGGACCAGTGCTTTCCAGTCTCCTCTGTGTATCTGTTTTCCTCTTTCCTCTCTGCAGTCCACTTAAAGGTCACTTCTCCTTTTGTGGCTTTGAGAAACATTTCTGTGCTGTAACCGCACAGAATTTTCCTCTTGAGGTCCATACCTTCTCTCCAGCTGCCTACTAGAAATTCATGTAAAGAAATGTGCACATTAAAAGTTAATGATTTTTCATCCAAGCCTTCATTCCCCACCTCCTTTGGGATGCGGGGTGCTGGGGATCAAGCCCAGGGCCTGGGACGTGCCAGGCACGGCCTGTACCGCTGAGCTCTGTCTCCTACCCCTGGACTTCTAGGTGAATTCCGTTTAGCATCTCTGTCTCTCTTTCCTCATTGTTTCAGTTCAGAGCTTCATCATATTCCCCTTGGATTTTTTCCATAGTTTTTTTCTCTATAATTTATTTATTTATGTGGTGCTGGGGATCAAACTCAGGACTTTGTGCTTGGGAGGCAGGTGCAGCGCTACTGAGCTACCTCCCCAGCCCTATAATTTATTTTGAAAACTTTTTGCCAGGTTTCCTAAAATAAAAAAGAGATTATTTTATTCACTTGCATTTAGTGGCACCTAAATCTGGGAGAACAGATCTATCACTTACAACTTTAATCTCTGAAGTGTGCCTAGCATTGCCCTCCCCAGTCTAACTTATGATATTTTACTTGTTTCCCTCATAGTTCTAAATATGAGTTAGCTTTCTGTTGCTGTAAGGACTACGGAAATAATCACCTGATAAAGAGGGTTTACTGGGTCTCGGCTTTGGAGGCTTCGCTCCATGACTGAGTCGAGTGGCCTATTTCGGTGGGCCTGTGGTATGCAGGCCCGGCATGGTAGGGAGCTGACATAGTGGAGCTGGAGACAACCACAGTGCTCAGTTACTTCTGGGTCAGGACACAGAGAGAGGGAGGAAGAGACCCCAGGCCTAAAGACCCCCTCCAAGGGCGCCCCCAGTGGCCAAAGCTCCAATGGGTCGCATGTTGAAGTTCTCGCCGCCTCCCACCTAGCACAGTGTTACCAAGCTTGAACCTGGCCTTTTCACACTTGGGGTTTTGGGAGGAACACTCCAGGTCTGAACTGTCACAAAACTGACTGTTCATCTGTCTCGTTCAGTGTTGGTTGTTGTCTTTCATCTTTGCCTCCTTAAGATCTGATTTTTAAGTATTTGTTGAATGGAACTTGAGTACTTATGTAAATTGGGCTACTTGTAACATTTTCCAGAAAATTATATACCTAATTATAATATTAGGTAACATGGGTAATGCCTAATTATAACATTGTAAAATTATATACCTAATGCATTTCGTTTTATGGAGTTTATCATGTAAATCAGATTTATTTGGTTATTCTTACTTGCACAGTTCTGGATTTGCTAATTTTCTTTCTTCTCACCTGTGTAATTAGGAGAGCCACAGATGTTTACATTAAAATTCAAGCGGGCTGAAGACTACCCCATCGATCTCTATTACCTTATGGACCTCTCTTACTCAATGAAAGATGATTTGGAGAATGTGAAAAGTCTTGGAACAGATCTGATGTATAAAATGAAGAGTATTACTTCAGACTTCCGAATTGGTAGGAATGTTGGGAAAATTCATAATTTTCATGTGGCTAAGTCTTGTCAGGTCTCAGAGGCCTTTTATGTGTTTTTCCTTTGTTCTTCACAGCATACATGTGATGTAAATAGGCCAGATTTTAGTATTTACCTGTTCATCTATTGGCTTATTTTATAAACCTGTTGAGTAGCCCAGACTGCATTTCATTACTAATTAGAATGACCACATGTCTGGGTTTCACTTCATGTCTGGGTTTTTCTTACTAAAATGATCACTTTTAGCTTTATTTTCCCCATTTCATGCACCCCCAGGTGAGCCCCTCTTCTGCCTTCTTCCCATTCCTGGCCCAGCAGAGGGTTAACAATAGAATATTGGAAAGACACGACAGCCTCCTTGAGGCCTAAAATTACCTTTTACAAATTAGCTGTGTTTTAAATGGAAACACTTTTAAAGAATAGCACTTGATTAAAATGCCTTTTTATTCAGTAAGCATAATTGACGATGGAAAATAGAAGCTTTTACTAAGACTTTTTTGAAGTGATCAGAAATCCAGAACATGTATACATATATTCACTCATTCATTCATCATGCCATTGTTGAGAGTCTTGGTGCTAAGATGATGAATGTGGGCGAACCTATTCTTAGTCTGTTTGGTCTACCTTAAAAAACATCCTGAACCGGGCAGCTTATAGACAAGAGAAATTGATTTCTCTCTGTGCGAGAGGCTGAGGTGTCCGTGGTCACGGCAGGCTCGAGTCTGCTGCGCTCTCATTTGTGGGTCCTAGTTGATGCCTCAGAAGCGTCCTCACACAGTGGCGGGGGGGGCGGGGTGGCCGCTCTCCGGGGCCTCCTTACGAGGTCGCTCTTCCCAGGGCTCCATCTTCATGACCTGACCACCTCCCAAAGGGACTGGTTTTCGACCTGAGAATGTGGGAGGGCACAGATATTGTCTGTAGCAACTTACATGTGAAAACATGCTTGACTTTCAAGAAATGCAAGTTTATCTTTCTGTCTCTTAGCTGCCCGTGTGTATTTTTCTTCTCAGGCTTTGGCTCGTTTGTGGAGAAAACGGTGATGCCTTACATTAGCACAACACCAGCCAAGCTCAGGAACCCTTGCACGAGCGAACAGAACTGCACCAGTCCCTTCAGCTACAAAAATGTGCTCAGTCTTACCGACAAGGGAGAAGTGTTTAACGAACTTGTCGGTAAACAGCGCATATCTGGAAATTTGGACTCCCCCGAAGGCGGTTTTGATGCAATCATGCAAGTGGCGGTTTGTGGAGTAAGTGGGCCCGTTTTCTCTGGGGTATTCTTTGTAATATTTGGCTGTTTTAAGTGTGATTTTATCACTTAGTAGAAAGAACGAACTTAATTACCATATCACTAGTTTACCCTTGAGAAATACAGGTATTAATCCCTTAAATTCTCTCCAACTGCAAGTGCTATAAAAAGTGTTTTTAACCCTGCTGTCCCTGTTTAAACCAGGCAGTTAGTTCATGCGTAATTTTAGACACCAGAGTGCCAACAGTCAGAGGCAGTGGGCCCATGCAGCAGGGCTGTGGCCGGTGTCCTGGGTGTTCAGGCTTAATGGGTCTGTACCAGAAGTGGAGTGGACGTTTTCCGAGGCATCACTGGCAACCTGGAAAGCGCTCGGATGGAAAAGTGCCTCGTGCCATTTTCCCGTAGTGAGTTTTCTTCTGCCCATTTTCTTTCAGAGGTACTGTTGTGTAATTCAAAAAAGAAAGAATGTCTTAAGCCTTAGTTTGTAAGCTATCCGACAGCACGTGTTCTGAGAAGTATTTGGTGTTCTTTAGGGAAGATTTTTAGTAATATGCATTGTATGCCCCAGGTCCGGCTGAGTGTTTTGTGATGACCTTTTCATGATAATAACTGAGGCTGAAAGTAGCAAAGCTTTTAATGATTTAGCTGAGGCTGAGCTGTAGATAAAGTGTGACTGGGATACCTACTGTTGTCTCGTTCTTTTCTCCTTAGTAAGGTGCTCCTGGTATCCAGGATAGTCAGTGAAGCAACATGGTAGTTAGTGTAGTAGTTAGGATTTTTCCATGCCCCAGATCCTAGGGGATTTATTTGGCCTCTCTGGGGCCATTTCCTTCTCTTTTCAAAAGGATGATAATAGTATGTAACTCATAGGTGTATTGTGAGATTTCAGTACCATTTTCATTAAAAGTACCAACAAGCACTCAGTAAATACTAACTGCTGTCTTGTTACTTTTTGATTTCTCTAGAGTTTTCGCAGTTTAAGGTGGTCCCAGCTTTTAAAGCTGAATAGAGCTTCCAGGCAGTATTGGGCTTGGTATTTCTTTTCATTCCAGTCATTTATTTGTGATCGCTGGGGAGAGAGCGTGCTCTATGCTGCCTCTACCTGTCCCTCAACTAGTGGATGAAACCAGCCCTGGTACACAGTCATGGGCATCTCCGAGTTCTCAGTGCCCCTTCTCTAGAGGAGAAAAGAGACAGTCAGTCCCCTTTTGAAAGACTGTCAGCATCACTAATTCTGTCCTTCAAGGAATTTATATAGACGTTTTGAGTCAGTTTAAATTTAGACAAACATAATTACAAAGTAGAAGAGGATTTTACTGATACTTTAAATTCTTTGTTAAATAAGATGGAGGATAGACGAATGAACAAACCAGCAGTGCTGATTGATGAGTTAGAATGGGTAGAATTAAGCAGGACAAGTCTTTGGATGATATTTTTCTGTAGTAAGAGAAGGTCTCATGCGGAGGGCTGACAGGAGTAGATGGTGTAGAAGACAGCGAGCAAGGGTGGGTGACAGGATGGCGACAGGACACAGCGGCAGGTATTGGAAGGGGTGGATCGAGACCCACAGCACATATTCACCAAGGCGCTTCTAGAAGAGCTCTGCTAAGTGCTACAGAATAAAACCAAAAAGTTTTTGAAAGAGCTGAGAGCCATTGGGAACTTGGCAAGAAATAGCTATGTAGTGGGGCCGAGGAGCTTCATTCACTGGGCTGTCAGTGTTTATCATCAAGATTATTAATGCTATATAAGGCAAAGACACAGAATCAGGTTAACGGTACAGTTGTAGCCTGCATGAAAATCAAAAATGCTATGCTGACTCACTGTGAGTGGCATTCTGAAAGTGAAATACCTTTCTCTGCAAGTCGTTGATTGGCTGGAGGAATGTCACACGCCTGCTGGTGTTTTCCACCGACGCCGGGTTCCACTTCGCCGGAGACGGGAAACTTGGTGGCATTGTTTTACCCAATGATGGCCAGTGTCACCTAGAGAATAACGTGTATACCATGAGCCATTACTACGTAAGTGCCTGAGTTCTCACCTCGTGAGCGGTTTAATGTTTAGCGAGTTTTTCGGGTGACCGGCTCGAGATTGTCAGGGCTTGGGGTCGCGTCGCTCTGGTAAGAGTACGCCCTCACCAGTGGTCAGGAAAGCTGGTCTCGTGGTCTGGGATGATGCAGCTGTGTGCTTGCTTCCTCTTAGACAAGGGCTCACCGGGTGGACACCGTTTCTGCTCCTCGGCCCATAGCTGTCTCCTTTCTCTTGCGTACACCAGTTAGTAGCAAAGTTGCTATTATTTCTAAACAAATAATGCATCTAATTTTATTTCTTTGTCTTATTTTATATGAGTTTGAAACATACCCTGCCTTTAATGAAAATAAAGACAAAGTACTCAGTGTTGGTGGATCTTCTTTTTCTTTTCTTTCCTTTTTTTTTTGAGAAAGGGTCTTGCTGTGTAGTTCAGGCTGCCCTTGAACTCTCTATGTAGTCCAGGCTGGCCTCAATCCTCCTGCCTCAGCCTCCTGAGTGCTGGGCCCCCACGCCTGGCTCCCTTGATCTTTTTCTTAAGTGTTAGATCATAGAACCTTTAATTACTTGGAGTTGTTCAGTTTCATTGTCCTTATATTTATTGTATATAGATTACCTTATTATTTAGGATATTTTTAATAGAGAAATTGTTTCTCATACAGAAAAGTAGAGAAGATTAGAAACCAGCATATAAACACTACCAATCCCAGTGATTATTTGCATTTTATACTTTTAGTAGAAAGCACTTCAGTGTAAGTTATCCAGTTACATGTGCAAATCATTATTTTCAAGAAGTATTGGGGCCGGGGATTTAGCTCAGTGGTGCAGCTGCTTGCGTTGCAAGCCCAAAATGCTAAGTGCGATCCCTGGTCCCAAAAAAAAAGAGAAGTATTGAAAAACTGAGATACAGGAAGGGTGTGTTATGTACTAAATTGTATTGCTTAATTTCTTAGGATTATCCCTCGATTGCTCACCTTGTCCAGAAACTCAGTGAAAATAACATTCAGACGATTTTTGCAGTTACTGAAGAATTTCAGCCTGTTTACAAGGTAAATAGTGTGAAATAAAAAGTTCTAAGCCCTTTTGTGTTTTGTTATTAGAGGCAAAATTATGTGTCTGAAGTGGAGCGTAGGAAAATGCTACCAGGTAGGCAGACAGAACTTTACAAGAGATTTATATAATTTTTAATCATACATCGTTAAACTAGTTGTCTTTTTTTCAAGTTTGGGGCTTCAAGTTTAGGAAATGTGTAGGGAACTGATAGTTAAAGATAAATGTCACTTGCTCAGCGGATTCTAAACAGTTCAGTGACCAGTGTTGGTATTTTACACGTTTTATCTTTTAATTGCAGGAACTGAAAAATTTGATCCCTAAGTCAGCGGTAGGAACATTATCTGCCAATTCGAGCAATGTAATTCATCTGATCATTGACGCGTACAACGTGAGTACACTTTAAGTAAGATCAGTTTCAGACAATACCTGGCTGAGGGTACTTTACTTACAGAAGGTAAAACGTCTTCATATACAATTTGGTAAGCCAAGAAGGCAGCGGCAAAAACAAATGGTGTATCTGAAGGAAAACTTGATATTGTCTTTACAAAAATATAGCCAGAGCAAAGCAGAAGTATGATCAGGGCATCTGGGGAAATTCCTGAATGTCTGTCTGTCAGTAAGCAATGGATCTCCTTGTTGGGGAGCTTGTATAAAATATAACTTACATTTAGGTGTGGAGGATTCCTCCAGTCTTCTCTGTCTTTCCCAGAGCATCCTTTGTAGCTTGATATACTTTGCATCATATTTCTAGCTGGAGAAGCTTTTTTGCCATTGCCTTTCTTGACATAGTTCCAGAGGATTTGTCTTTCTAATAGATATATATAATAAAATACATAAAATGTAAATATATGTGATCTGCCTGCCTTAAGATTTGTAAGATTGTTTTATCCTAACCTGTGGAAGGGAGTTGAAATCAAAGAGGAATTGTCTTCCCCTCCTCAAGCTGAATTTAGAGCATCTTCACTGATTACCCATTGAGCACTGGTCAGTAATCATTGTATTAATCCAAAGACATTTGTAATATGAGGGTAACTGTCCTGCCCTGCACACTCACTCCACTTTCTTAGCCCCCTCCCAACCCTTTGGTAGGTTGAACTTTGATTTTATGCATATATATAAAATATATATCTATTTTACCCCATGCCGTGGGGATCCCCTAGTGTTTTAGAAAGACCTGACTCAGGGAAAGGAATTTTGCGGTGGTTTTTGAGATGCCAGTTGTTTGACGTCTTCCCATAGCTGTCCTCTGTCTTACAGGATGTTTTCTAGTGCCTGTCCTTGTAGGGGTATGAGCAGGAAAGCGTCTGCCCTGGCAGCCTCCTCCCAGGTTGCAGCCAGTTTGTTCCCAGGTTGTATAATAGATTGTTTACCTTGGTTCCTAGCTGGCTGGAAGGGGTAGGGCCAGAGGAGAGCCATTGCTGTGGGGAAAGAGCATTTGTTCTGCATCTTATGGCTCCTCACAGTTAACGTTAGGTCACTGATATTATAACTGAATAAATAAAACTGAATAAATGTTATTTTCAATTGTGTACATTAAGATTGGACCCTTGTTAGTTAGAGCTTGTTTCTCTGGGTTTTTGTGTTTTCTAGGCACTCATTTGGATTTGGCCTCACAATATTTTTATTGAAATGACTTTATTTTCCAATGATCTATTTTATCCACTGGTTTTATGCATTCAGGTACCATTTTATTTGGCTCACCTGTTCATAATTTGTCTTTCTTTTAGTCCCTTTCTTCAGAGGTCATTTTGGAAAACAGCAAATTGCCAGAAGGAGTGACTATAAATTACAAATCCTACTGCAAGAACGGGGTGAACGGAACAGGGGAAAATGGAAGAAAATGTTCCAATATTTCCATTGGAGATGAGGTATGTAATATAAACATTCACTGTAGAAAAGAGATTGCTTATACATAGTAAAATTTACTTTCTAATTTGAGAAACATTAAAAGAAACAAGTAGCTTCTTATCTTTTTTTTTTTGGTACTGGGGATCGAACTCGGGACCTTGCGCTTGTGAGGCAGGCAGCGGAAGCACTGAGCTGAATCCCTGGCCCTGGCCCACGAGTCGCTTTTTGAAAGACTTCTATTCATTGCTGAATGAATCTAGTTGGGTTTTTTTCCCCCCTTCAAGGTTCAATTTGAAATTAGCATCACTGCAAACAAATGTCCAAATAAGAATTCAGAAACCATTAAAATCAAGCCTCTGGGCTTCACGGAGGAAGTGGAGGTCATTCTTCAGTTCATCTGCGAGTGCGAGTGCCAGAGCGAGGGCATCGCAGACAGCCCCAAGTGTCACGACGGCAACGGGTCGTTCGAGTGTGGTGCCTGCAGGTGAGCTGTGGTGTGGGGCGTCGCGGGCAGGACAGGCTGGGGCTGGGGCGCCCCAGGAATGAGCCCAGGACCTGCTTCAGCCACTCTGCTCCGCGCAGGAGCAGCTTGTGGCCCCTTCCCACCTGTCGTCAGAAGGCTTCCACCTCACTGTAGAACGAACGAACGAATGCTCTTGCAGTCTCGCCGCTCTGTTCAGCTGATGTTCAGGTGGCATCTGGGCCTTTTCCCTCCTGGTACCATTCTCAGTTTTCCAGGCAGAATGAGCCTACACGAAGTAGTGTATAGGAAAGTGTTTAGAAAATTGTGTCAAACTGACAGTAATTTTTTTACCTGAAAAGTAGAATTAGGAAGCAGTAAAGGATGTTTACCCTATATTCCATGAATTGTGCATTGTTGGAATCATTTTTTTTTTCTAAAGAATATGTTGTAAAATGAAAAGGAGAAAATGGGTTTTTCAGAATGTAGAATCTAAACCAAATTATTTTAAGTATTTTACACGTTTTTTTTTTTCCTTTGACAGTACTGGGGATTAAAAACTGGATCTTTGCACTGAGCTACATCCCATGAAAAAGATTTTCATGTTTTATTTATAGTTTTTTGAAACAGGGTCTTGCCCAAGCTGGACTCGAACTTGTGGTCCTCCTGCCTTGGCCTGTCAGAGTGCTGGGATTATAAGTGTGCGTGTACCTCCACACCCATTGGTTATTTTTTAAAGCAAAAATTAAAACTAATTGTACTTTGAATATGAGTTTCTCCTTAAAAGAGTAGAAAAAGTAAAGGACATTTTGCCATAACTATCAGCCCCTGCTAACTGTGCTTAAAAAGGTTATCATAAGAAAAGTGCATGGCCATAGTTCACTGTCAACTGTTGTCTATTCTAAATGGCAGTTGTTAGTTTTATTTCCATGTCATACGTATCTTGTTTGAATCATGAAAATCTATTTTTAGTGAAATCATGTAACCAATAAGATTATCTTGAAAAGTCTTTGCTTTTCTTCCTGTTTTTTACCACTTACAGAATCAGAATACCCAGTGTCCACGAGCATGGAGTATTCTGAAAATGTATAGGCTGCCTGAAAATTCTGGACCTATAGGATATTTTTAAACAATATGTTAGTTATATTTTCAGTTGATGCACTCAGTGTATTCTTTTCAGCTTCTCTGCACTTTTTGGGATGTGTTTTTTAATGTTCACAACTGGACCATTGCTTGAAAATTTAGCCGTAACTCATCTATAATAGAAAAATAATACTATATTATTTGAAAATATATTTCCACATTCTCTTTAAAAGTAAGTGTATTGGGCCGGGCATTTAGCTCAATGGTTCTGCTGCCTGCCTCGCAAGTGGAAGGACCCGAGTTTGATCCCCGGTACCCCCCCTCCCCAAAAGTAAGTGTATTGTGTAGCCAGGCATGGTGGTGCATGCCTATAATCCTAATACTTGGGAGGCTGAGTCAGGAAGATTGAAGTTGAGGGCAGCCTGGGCTACATTGGAAGATCAAAGTCAGTATGGACTATGTAGCAAGACCCTGTGTCAAAATAAATAAAGGAACTTCTGTTTTTCTAGGTGTTTTGTTCACCTGTTCATTGCTGCATCCGATTTTCATTTTGATCAGAGTGGTTACTTTCTGAGCTCGGGATTTCCCGAGCCGCTGCATAGGTCCCGCAGGAACAGACGGCTGCTTTACCTGTGTGTGTGCACGCCTCCCTCAGTGTGGCGCACGCAGTCCTGCCCGCTGTATTGGTGGTGTGGAGAGATTGTGCACTGCTCTGTCTCCTCTCCCTTGACGTGTTACTGCAGATGCATTTACGTGGCTGCCGTTCTGGGATTCTCTTCAGGTGCAACGAAGGCCGTGTTGGCAGACACTGTGAGTGTAGCACAGATGAGGTGAACAGCGAAGACATGGATGCCTACTGCAGGAAGGAGAACAGCTCCGAGATCTGCAGTAACAACGGGGAGTGCGTCTGTGGACAGTGTGTCTGTAGGAAGAGGGATAACACGAACGAGATTTATTCCGGCAAATTCTGCGAGTGTGATAATTTCAACTGCGATCGGTCCAATGGCTTAATTTGTGGAGGTGAGAAAAGCCTCCGAGCTGTCTGCACAATGGGCTCCCCTTTAGTGCGATACAGCGTCTTGCGAATTTCCTTGGTGAATGAGAAAAGGGGCCCCTTCCTCTAGGTCGACGCTTAGTTTGCTTCTGAGTCAACGCTGTGAGTTTACATTTTTTACATTACCTTGAGCACTGATGCTTTTCGTTGCAGGCAACGGTGTGTGCCGGTGTCGCGTGTGTGAGTGCTACCCCAACTACACTGGCAGTGCCTGCGACTGTTCTCTGGACACCGCCCCCTGCGTGGCCTCGAATGGGCAGATCTGCAACGGCCGGGGCGTGTGCGAGTGCGGCGTATGCAAGTGCACAGACCCCAAGTTTCAAGGGCAGACGTGCGAGACGTGCCAGACCTGCCTGGGAGTCTGTGCCGAGCATAAGTACGCATTTCCTGGTTGCTTGCAGTGGTACTCACCCTCTGCTAAGTGCTGCCGTGATCGGAGCACCTGACAGTTTATGACACGTAACTAAAACAGGGGAGCCACAACAGGTACAGTGTATTACACCGCAAGTAAAATATTGGACACAAAGAAGCCCGTTCTTTATTCCTGAAAAAAATCCTTTCTCCAGAGGTAATGTATGCTGTGATATTAAATACATCGTATGAGAGCTGCACTAGTATTTTGATCTAGTTTGCTATGTCATTGAAATTGAATGCCAGTTTCCTTACATTGGAATTCCTGCCCTTTTTCCTTTTGGTGCTGGAGTTGGAACAAGGACCTGTGCGTGCTGCGAAACCCTTCTATGGCTGAGCCCCACCCAGCCCCATCGCGGTCTTTTGACTCAGCAGCATTGAAGATTTTTCTTCTTTTTGAATTATTACTGTATCAGTAATGCAGTATTTAAATTATGGCTTATGCTTCATTTCCTATGTGATAGGGCCAGTTTTATTACCTTTATTTATTTATTGGGGTTTTAATTTGAACTCTAATAAAACTATAATTTGGGAAACTAGTGCTTTTTTGGGCCATCTACAACGAATTCACTTGTTTCAAAAAGATCCAAATGCTGGCATTGTCCAGCAAACTTCATTAGATTTATTTAAATTCACTATAAAGTTGGATGGCTAAAATTAGTTCCCTGAAATGTTTTGACTGTTCCTGCGTTTATATTAAGAATTAACACACGGGGCCGGGGATTTAGCTCAGTGGTTTCGCCGCCTGCTGTGCAAGTGCAAGGACCCGAGTTCGATCCCCAGTACCAAAAAAAAAAAAAACCACAAGGGCCAGGCGTGTACCTCAGTGGTGCAGCACCTACCTGGCAAGCACGAGGTCCTGAGTTCAATCCCAGGTACCAAAAAAAAAAAAAAGAAAAATTCTTGAAGAATTAACACACAAATGAAAATGGGGAAGTAATGAACACCTGATTTCTGTGCCTAATTTTTCCATTCATACTCATATGTAGATACTTTTTGACTCCATAGCAAAGGAAATAGCTAATGCTCAGAGCCACCAATATAACAGGAAAAAGAGAAGAGTGGTTGGTGAGGAAAGTTGCGCGATGTGAAATGCTTCCCATCGTAGAGGACTGTTAGGCGCAATCGCTGATGTCTTCGGCGCAATTGCTGCATATATGGCGTGGGCAGCGTCCGCTGGTGTCTTTAAAAAGGCCTGGGAGCCGGTTGTGTTTCAGTCCTCAGCAATTTCCTGTCCCAGACACCGGGAAGACATTTGGGAATCCGAGGTTGGGAGGACTCTGGTAACTGCGACTGTCACCCAGCCCCAGGGCGTCAGCCTGCCACAGCGAGGCAGCCCATGCTCCACAGAGCGGCACCTTTGGTGACCTGTTGCCTCCTGGGTGCCTTTCCCGCGTGCTGGGACCGTCTTGCTTCTTCCGCTGGCCAGGCTGGGCAAAGGTGCAGCCGGTATTGGCAGTGGGGGTCCACTGCTGCCAGAAACCAGCATCTTCCACCCAGAAATGTGGCATGCCCCTTCACTGCTCTACCTTCAGTTTGGCCATGAGTTTAGCACACAAAATAATCTTTCAGCAAAATTCACCTTAAATAATAACTTGTTTTTGTTTTTTTAAAAAACATTTATTACTACACATTTCCCGTATAGAACGATCACATTCATCCTAGGGAATCTGTACCTGTACATAACATATATCCTGATTCTCCTTTTTCCCACTCCCCTCCCTTCCCTTCAACCCTTCTTCCCCTCCCCATTTACCAAAGCTGTTTCCATTTTGTCCCTGGCCTTAACTAGCCCATTTTAAACCAAACGGTTTGTGTTTTCACAGAGAATGTGTTCAGTGCAGAGCCTTCAATAAAGGAGAAAAGAAGGACAGGTGTGCCGAGGAGTGTTCCCATTTCAACCTCACCAAGGTGGAGAGTCGGGACAAGCTGCCCCAGCCCGTCCAGGTGGACCCGCTGTCCCACTGCAAGGAGAAGGACGTGGACGACTGCTGGTTCTACTTCACGTACTCCGTGAACGGCAACAACGAAGCCATTGTGCATGTGGTGGAGACCCCAGGTAGCGATTTGATGGCAGCTGCAGTTCCTTTCTGCTCACTGCTGCCCTCTAGGCCTGCTGTCCAGAAACTGACCTCAGCTCTGCTGTTATTTCAGGTTCAAATTGGAGAATTTTTCCTCTCTCACCAGTTAAAATAATATTTAAAAGACATATATATGTTCATTTGTGTTAGTTTGTTTTTTGCTTTTTTTGAGGCAGTGGCTCACTTTGTAGCCCAGGCTGGCCTGGAACTCCACCGAAGTCCTTCCGCCTCAGCCTCCCGAGTGCTGGGATTACAGCGTGTGTACCACCACGCCCGGCTGTTAAACGCTATTACTAAGTATTGAAGTTTTTCAACTTCTCAGAAGATGAAATATTTTTTTATCTTGGTTCTTCTCTTTTTTTTTCCTTTGGTACCAGAGATCGAACTCAGGACCTTGTGCTTTGAGGCAGGCACAATGCCGCTGAGCTAAATCCCCAGGCCCTATCTTGCTTTTTTTATAGCTGTTTTTGTAGATCCTTTGAAGTTTTTCCTGTTGGTGTGTAGGTTTTCAGACATGATGGAGCACGAAGTGAGCACATGTTTAACTTTGTAAGAAATCATTCTTTAAAGTCTCTATAGTGTTTCCATCCTCAGATGGCATTTTATAATTATCTCCCGGGGTGTGCATCCTTGTCTTTTCATCTTCTTACTTTTTATTTGTTTTTGTGGTACACCAGGAGTCAAACCCTGAGCCTTGTGCCTGCCAGGCAAGTGCTCCACTATTGAGCTACCCCTCAGCCCTGGGAGTTTTAATTTGGAGAAAGCACAGTTTACCAAGGTTTTCTTTTCTAGATTTTGATTTTATTGTTGTACATTAAGAACCCTTTTTTCCTAGCCCAAAATTATAAAGGTATTTCTCCTGTGTTTTCTCTGGGAGTTTTACAGTTTTGTCCTGTAATTAATATGAGATAATCTTAATGTATGGAGTGAGTTTCTGGGTT